AACTTGGGGGATAATTTTAAAAGCTCCGAATGTTGGAAAATTCACGACTGCAACGTTTTGATAACAGCTAAACTCAGGATTGTCGTCTATATATAGAAATCTTGTATATTTGTTTTCTTATAGGATGTTCTCGATTTATATCCTGCGATATATATAAAATTTAATATTCAAGTCTTCAGAAATGTAGAATATATATTGTTGAATAAATTTCCCAATTTTTGTGAATTTATTGTATTGCATTGACAAAAATATTTGTCCGGCCGTTTCAACACAGTTTGAGTCATACCCGGACCGCGGTAAAAAAAAGTTTGGTGACCCCTGCTCGAGATATTTTGTACGGTTATTTTGTACAAATTTCACATAGTACAAAACAGAATATATTGTCCCATCTATTTACATCTATAAATTTTATTGTGGGACATGCCGTGAATTTATCAGTATATAATACGCATTCCATCTAATCTACAGTATTGGCTTTACAACCGTTTCAAATCAATCTTATAAATAAATTCCTTTTTGGTGGTTCAGTAAACAATATTAAATTTAAAGTACTTCAACACTATACACTCACTGGTATTCAAATCTGACTGCTTGTATAAATTTTAATGATCTCACTTGGACCGCAATGTTAGCTAATAAAATTTTAAAAGATTAACCAATAAATTTTAAAACATTAACCGTTAGGCAATGCTATGAAAAATAGAGTAAATATAAGTGCAATTACGGTATCCTATAGTAGTTAGTAGAGTACTCCTGAAGTATGCGTACCAAGATGGCGGGCACAGGAACGTAGAATGTGTACCAGGTTAGGGTTAGGCCATAATTTTATTCCAATTTTCCTTATTTTAGTTCTACTACGAGTTCGGGGACTAGCCAAGTGGCTTCTGTAGAATTTGTACCTAAAATCATGGCCTAACCTTAACTCGGTACACATACTACATTATGGTGTCCGCCATCTTGGCATTCAGGAGTACCTTTAATAGTGGTGGGTATTGGGTAATACACTATTTATAATGCGCTATTACTATTATTACACTATTTATTAATTTATAATCACATTTCTATTCAGAATCATACAATATTTTTTCCAAGTTTAAACTATCCTTTATAAGCAGTGATCTGGAATAAATTGATCAATTATGGATAATAAACCTATTACAATTTATTGTAGTTACTAAATCAAATTATACAATGGGCTTTATTTTAATCAGGTTCTATTCTAAATAAGTGGGAAAATAGCGGCAGTCAAGCATGTTATGTACTCGATAAAACATAAGACTGGGGTTAATAAGTCAGAAACCTCTGGCAAAATTAATTGAGTGGTAACTGGTAAGGTACAGTAAGTACAGAATAACAAATTTACCCATGAGCACGAACAAGCTTGTACAACAATATCAAGATTTTAAAATCCAGTTAATTTATTGCAGAAGTGTTGGAAAACATAATTTTCTGATTCGATCAATATTCAACTGTAGATGTTGATTAGGAAATTACGTGAGTGTTATTATTATCGAGATCAAACTGGTTGGAATTGAATGGGTAACACTTCACTTCTCATTGTAGACAATAGATCCTCAAGAATCATTTTAAATGCTTGACTTGAGTAGATTATTCTCAACTCGGACCAGCCATCAATCAACAAACAAAGCATGTCAATCTTAAAGTCATACAGAATAAAAACATAAAATAGCAGAAGAAAGCATGTCTCTCAAAATCTCTTAATTTTTTTAGTTTTTGCTGAAATAATACATGCAGAATCCACCCTGCAACATGGCACTCGAAACCTTTTAGATGTATTTTTTCAGGTACATTTCGCATAGCAAGAATTCAAGAAAATAACTTAGTTTCCAAAATAATACATCCTTACCATAATCTCATTATAGAATTAAAATAGTAATTCAACTTAACAAATGATCCCTGTATTTAACTGAATAACTAATTTTTATTCATTCTTTTATTCAAGTCTAGTATCATGACATTTTCCTTAGAGCAGGGGTCTCCAACTCAAAACATGTCGCGGGCCACTTTTTGAAATTTATTGGCTACGCGGGCCGCAAACCAAGAGACTAGGTACAAAATCTGAGTATCTGAATGCGATGTGTTGAAATTACACTTGAATCTTACAGCAAACGAGACATGAAACATATTCATTGACTTGTGCTAGATATTTGGTTTAGATGTTTGGCCTTATTTGGGTTGGTTTGCTTGTCTTAAGACAGCATGCAAATGCTCGTCCATTAGTCGTATGCGGAGGGCTAACTTTCATAATTGAGAAAAAATGCTCGCAAATTTATAAACTGCCAAACATCGCAGGTATGCAACGTGAATGTGCAATTAGCTTCGCAAATCTTTCTTCGGGCATAATGAATGGACCGAAACTTGTTTATTTCGTCACAATGAACTTGCGAAATGAATTATTGTATTCATTATTGAATTGTAACAATAGAGTAAAAAAAAACATGAACGTGGTAAAGTGGAATAACAGTGGGAAATTTTTGCTCCACTTTTTACAGTTCGTCGGACCGGACTCTTGATCATAAATGACACAATGAAAGTTGACATCGTACTATTTTAGTTTTTTGTGGAAAAATCCAAATCAAGACGCGGGCCGCAAAAAAATGGCTGGCGGGCCACGTGTTGGAGACACCTGGCTTAGAGTGTGCTGCCCATCCATAATTTGAACTAGAAGCTGGTTAAATTAGTTATGCATAGAATCAAAATATATCATTATCAGTTGGAACTGAAGATTAATTAAATTAGTGAAATTGTATTTTTACTTCTACAGATTTGTGTAGATGACTCTGATCAGAAATGAGGTTAAAAGAGAAGTAAAAAGCTTACTGGAAAATTTAAAAATAGCAATTGATTATGAAATATCAAGACTGGACATTTTTGTTTCATATGATTTCTCAGTGGTTAGATTCACTTTGAAATTCTTCTTTCTGTTACAACTCTTTGGAGATATTTTAGCCTGGTCCGATATATGTAGTTTCACAAATATACAGGCCTATATTATCAAACATATACATATTATATATCTTAATATTAAAATTACCGTAAATCTATATTAATATCATAAATGAGGTTCCAACTCCAATCCTCAAACTATTACGAACACATCAAATACACTATGAAATCAGACAAATATATCAACCTTTTGTCTTCCATGGAAGTAATGGGATAACTGAATATAGTTGTAAAACACAAAGTGACGAAACACCCAAACATATTTGTCTTCTGTCACTGTATGAAGTGATGAAATGTAGGGACTGAAAACTTTTTTATATTATTAAACCCAACTCCCAAAAGTGTGCAACAGTGAAACAACATAAATTAAGATGGAAAAAATGGCAAATGAATATTTAAAAACAAGTTGCTGTTATCTACAGTGCCAATATAATATTTTTACAGCAAAAAAAAAAAAAAGAATATTTGGGTGTATTGATAAATCCGAAGCCCAAAAAATGAATAAATTACTCATTTTTTTTACAATTCAGGATTAAGGTAAGATTTAGAATTATTAAACCTATGAAGTGATCAAAAAATGAGCCCTGTAGTACTAAAGCCATTCAATGTCAAGTGTTATCTTGAATAAGGATGCCTTTGACATATTTCCATTATATTCTAATGGAATATTATACTTTCTTGCGAAATAAAATACCCTTGGCAGTAACTATAAATTAGAAAAGTGGTCAAGATTGAAAAAATATTTCTAAGAATTGAAAACATTCCAGGAGAAAAGATATTTTTGCACACAACAACCAAGCTATAATGGGGATAAATTATTCAACAGTCTGCAACAGGCACCTGTCAAAAGCAACCTGGCACTGTCAGTCCTCTGCCAATCTAATCCCCATTGACACTGGATAGTAAATGGATGTAAAAAGCTTTGGCAAATACCGCAACAATATTATAAGACAAGAAGACTCATCAAAAAAATGCAAATTCCAATTAGCAGGAAAAAAGATTCAAAGAATCTTAAAATATGATAGCAAATTTGTTTTTCTTCCATTGGGTGAGTGTATTTCATGTTTCAAAGAACTGAAATTTCAATAAAAAATCTTCTTGAACATATCAATCTTAGGAATAATGCCGTCCTTTTAATGTCAAAGCATGTCTTCTTACCCAGTGGGAATTCCTAATACAACATAAGCGAGTGGCAGATACAGGTATTTGTGTCATTTGTGTCAAGCTGTCAATGCACTGCATAGCTCAATCAGTTATTCTGTGTTGCATGAGTTTGACAACTGAATTCGCTATAGATAGGAAGTTATAAAAAATGTTCATGATGAAGTCATTTTAGCCGACTTGTTACTAAAGAGTTGCAAAACTGCGCAGGTCTTACACGAAGTCTGCATTTTCCCTTATATCCATATTTAGAAACAAGCCTGCACAATGAGTACAATTAACTGCTGCAGTTTCATGTTTGTATATAATTTTTAGAATCCTGAAGGGTTACAGATTACAGTATTTGGCACTGCACCACGGATATGAATTTGGAATTCTGTGCAATTGAGCTAGTTATATGAAGCAATAAATAAATAAGCTTACAAGTATAAAGTTTTATCCAATATTGATATTCTGGGATTCTGATTTGGCAAATTTTAATATAGAATATTCTATATGGCTTTTCTTCTAAAAACAATAAATTTCACAAAAAACAGTCATTTGATTACGCAAATCTTGAACATGATTTCTCTTTGAATAATAGAAATTTTAACTGTTTTTTAGACTCATTTCATTTGAATTCTTCAGACATCTTTACACAAGATATTCAAAAAAGCATATTTGCATAATTACATTTAAAAAATAAAATATAAAATTTATTTCTAAGCCTTTTTTTAGCTGAAGAAATAACCTATTTCAAACATATATAGCGAATATCGGGACATGAAAACAAAGACTAAACAATAATCTATAAAAAAATTACTAAATGCTCAAATCTCCCATTTTGAATTTATATACACAAGAAGGTATAGGAGGCCATAGCAGCTACTCACATGTTCCATTGTAAGGGCACTGGTACTGAGCTGATATTCTCTCCGAACATGATCACGGTTTGTTCTGAATTCTTCTGTTGGTAAATTTCCATCTTCCTTGACTCCACTAATAGAGCCGTAGTTGTTTGAAGCAGGTTGCTGATGATAGTATTGATCCAAATGTTTTGAAGACTCTTTTATAGTCAGTTCATAATATTCGTGAATATCTGAACAAAATATAATAAGGTAATATTCACACCTTTTCAGATGAAACAAACTGTTTCATCTCATCCTAAACAGCACCCCTACATGTAGGCCTATAATCACCAAAATTTATATTTTTTCATACTTTGGGTAAAAAAATGTAGTTTCCCTCATTGAGCCATACTTACAAATCATAAACCCAAGGTTTGATGAACAAAAGTGCAGTTAAAAAATTGTTAAAATTGTTCTCATGTCTAACCAGTTGAGTAAGCATTCAGATGGATTACTGATTCACTGTGAACTATACCCTCAAGGATGATAGCATAGATAGAGCACAAGAAAAACAAACAAAGTGTGAATCGACTGCTGACAAAACTGTGATAGCCACATAAGATAATTCATTACAACTCATGGAGGCTCAATCTACATACTTGACTAAATGTGGCATCCATTTAAAAAACATCTATCACTTCTTCAATAAACTTACTATCTCAGTGATAGTCGATGTGATAAGATAATATCAGTTTTATATTAAGTATGAACTTAATATAAAAAGTAGGAAGGGAACCTAGTTTAAAACAAAACGCATTTAAATTTTTTAAATATTCCATCAATGAATCTGAACAAATAATCATGAGTGGAAGTTGTTAAATAGATGTTACAAAAAATCATTGCAAACCAAACAAAATAAATTCAGCACATCTAGTATATTGACAAAACTATGGTAGATCAATTCAAAAAAAAATTTTGAGTAAATCATGTATTCTGATATTATTGTAGCTTTCAAGTCTTGTTATGATTAATCAATCACTATTGTGGATATTTGACTCAGATATGGTGGTGCCATTAGTCAGGGATCACTTATCCATCCCCTCAACATGGTTGTAACTAGGTAAGCAATGCCAGTTATGTTTCACAACACACACCCCTCTCAAGTAGCCGGTTTAGCACAGCTTTGTTAGAAACAAACATGTGAAACCTTTCATGGAAATTATACATAGCATGACAAACAAGTAAATGCATCAGAATATATTATAAAATGATAAAAACATTGAGCAGTGATAAAAAATAATGAGATCCAAAATTTGAATTTATGACAGTCAAGCTCCAAAATTTTTGAAAAAAAAAATGAAATGACTTTTTTTCTTAGATCAAGCATGTTCAAATTGACTAATATGTTGTAAAAGAACAGTTGAATATAAAAAAATTTAATGGTATTCAAGCACTAAAACAAAATTTTAATTGGGAAAAATGGTCAAATATATTACATACCTAAGAGAGCGTAAAATAAATCACTTCTAAAAATATCCATGACTTTTTCAAGTGCATCTCTTAGCTGACTATCATCAGGTTTGTTCAGTTTTAAATGATATTGCTTCAGAAGGGCAAGAGCACGGTCAGCATCTAAAAACATTTAGAAAAAAAATGATTGGTAATAAAATAAATTGTGAGCACCTTTGAGTAGCTAATATTCTCAGAAAATCTTAATTTTTAAGTTCTCAGCAGTTCACTATAGAATAAACCAGTGGTTCTTTAAACTTTTTAAGTACTTTTAGAATTTGTCTAGTCTCGCGCCCAACATCAAAATAACTAGCTAACAATAGGCTACAAATAACAGATAGTAGGAGGAAAGTATGTTTTGTCAAAAACAAAACATTGAAAATATGTGAATGGAATGTAAATAATGGAATGAATGTAAAGTTTCTAAAACAAACAGGGGCAAGCAAGATCAAATCTAACAAATATTTTTTATTTTTAATTAGCTTCACGCTCCCCAAGAAATTGTCTATGCCCATGTTGTTTGAGAGCCACTGGAATTAACTATAAGACTGTATGAGCATAAAGATAGTATTCTAACACATGGCTGGTCAGGTCTCCAAGACATAATGAATCTGACTGAATTGTGGTCCATAGAACCATACAAATATCTTTACCTTGCTTTCTTACAGGCATCTTCAACTTCAGTCACGTCCCGAAAATAGTAATATCATAGAAACATAAAATGGGAGGTACATTACTCCGTGTGGGTTCTGTAACTGAAATTTCAAAAATACCCTGAAAATTTGATATCAATGAAAGAAGGAAACATTGGACCACAAAAATTCAGGACATATGAAACAGCGAAATGCAATAACATAATCATATCCAATTTAAAGACTCTGGTAGAAATGAGCCGAACTCTGGTCACTTTTGACATGAGTTAATGACATGAGCAATGACATGAGTTATCTAAATCAGTGATAACCAACACTTTTTTCAAGTGATCCGAATTTTTTAAAAAAATGAAGTTTGTTGAATCTTGCAACCCAAAGATATGTTCAGATACCAAACGACAAGTGGTGCATCTATGACCACAATTGAAATTACCAATATGAAAAAACATTAGTATTGGTTTCTTATCACAAATTTTTGAAATTGTACGTGGATTTCTTAGGCAAAATAGATTTAAGCTTTTAGTTCATGATACTTCCCACATACAGACATATATACACTTAAGACTACTATTGAGCAACACTTCAATATGTACAGACTTGGTCAAAAATAAACAATTCAATTCACTACAAATATAAAATCAACAACTGTATCGCCTTTGTTAAAAACTAAGCGACCCCAAAATTTCCAAGTGACCCAGTTTTGGGATGCGACCTAAGCACCGATCTAAATGAAAGTATTTTAGGTTACTCAAACTCACTGAACACCACCAGCGAAACTTGAATTGATTCAAAAATATTCTGGTGAAATAAGATTATCCCATGACAGCATGAATTCATGTGATATGGGAAAATCGAATATTCAATAGCTTGTTGCGCCAATAACAAGAGATTGTTTAGTGTTGATGCCTAGGTAAATAATATCAATTTAATTCTATTTGATTTACAAAATAATGCTGGTCCAACACTCTGACACTAGACAGGACTTTAAGTTTTCATTTATCCATTTCACTGTTGTTTATAAAATATACTGACTCGAAAATGCAAGAATGAGATTGCGGTATTAGGACCCCTGTACTCCTGCACTTGCAACTTGAGGCTTAGGGACTTTATATCAGACACTGAAAAATATTTGATCGGATTTTGGACTACATGAAAAAGATACAAAATCTATTAGTACAGATTTATCAATTATAACAACATTCAGACTTTAGGTTCCAAAACCTATTTTCTGTATTTAATAGATTGACTGAGCATCTGACCATTTTGTCCATCAATTATAAAGGCATCACACAGCTAGCGAGCATTTTTGAACTCGGCTCTTTGAACTACGTACTACAGCTCTAATACCTACGGTATACTTGGCAGCGGGATAAAACAAACCTCGATTATATCTCACACTTCGCGTAATACGCGAATTTTAAATACAATACTCAACATGGCGAATCAAGACGGTGATATATGTCACTGCACAATATTATATTCGTAATTTGGGTATTAAATCTGTAAATACTAAAATTGAATCGTGAAGAAAACAGAAGGCCATACATCTCTACTGAAACGAACAAGCCGCCGTTTGTGTCTTTTTACATGGGTTACCGTACTGCTGAATTGCGAAGTTTCTGGGAATAAAACACATCCTATCTTTATCGAGCATGAAGTTTCGGACGAATATAATAATTGAAATATCAGTGGGCGAATTAACTTCACTGGAAGTCGTTTAGTGGTCGATGCGAATTTTGTAATCGGTGTTATCCTCAATATCTGTATGTGCTTTTTCTACTCCCATAAATTTCCTTTAGCACCGTTTTCATGAAAACTAATGGAATCAAATTCGTTTTATTACTTTTATCACTGGTCAGTGGCAAATTCCATTAATAAGGCCTAAGAAAAAAAAAACGACATTTGTGACGTCATTGATGACACCGATTTACATCGGCTTCATAAGAACTTGCTAATTGTTAACGTTGGTGTATTATGCTCGCTGGCTGAACGCCAAAGCGGGACTTTTGACTGACCGGTCGGGACGCCGGGACAAGACGTTAAAAAGTGGGACTGAGATGTGAAATAGTTTTGAGGATAGAATATTTTTTACATCTTTTTTGATATTTTTATCATGATAAACATGATAATCGTTCATTAAAATTTTAATGGCATTTCCGTTAACCGTCGGCCTAGCTTTTTGACTGTTAAGTTCATTATCAAGTTTGCAGCAATTCTTTTGGTTTTGGTTTTTGGTTTCAACTCTTCTTCCCCATCTCTGCCTGGTTTTACTTGAAAATTCTGAAAAAATTACTCATGTTTGCTAAACTCGATTCAGCAGATAAATAAACTACAGCTCGCAAAGTTGCATCGAGTACTTCTATCTCCATTGGACGTAACATCAGAGGCAAACACTACGCAATGGAAAGTAAACGACATAGAAAGGTAAAATGAATTTGTTGATTCATACACACAGCATTCAAATTAAGAAACAGTAAAACACTTATAATAAATGATGTATGTAAAATATTCAATCATATTTTAGGTATGTTTAACACAATTCTGTTAGTTTTCGCGGGGCAAATCGCCACGACGAACTCATTAGGAACCGCTACATTACACCGTTTTTTTTTTTATTTATCAATTTTACTTTTTTTATTTTTTGGGGTTCCACTATTTTTTCCCATTCAGTAAAAAATAACATACGAAATTAACAAAATACAAAACTGGACACACAATTTTACTGGGGAAGGGAAGTCGCTGGGAACCAGGAATGGCGATCGAGCACCGACACCCGAAGTTCAATATCTAACTTAGTTTGTAAGGATCACGTTTTTAGAACACTTTTTATATGAATGAGCATGGCTCTGGCAGCTGAACTACATATAACATCCAAAAGACATGAACGTTATATGAGACGACCATATTTTGTACATGGCAAAATCTCTAATCGAACCCACCAGATAACTTAAAAGTGTAAGTGTCCGTGGACGAAAAAGTTTGGGAAACGCTGCTCTAAAAAATGAGAGTATACTATTCTGCAAAATCGGGTTATTTGATCTATGCGAAGTCATGAAAACAAGCTAAAATGTTTACCATCGTGTCTTCAGTTGTTACGCCAAAATATAGGCGTCACTCCAAAATATGTGTTCAATGTTCATCATTGCGATATTGCGTACTAGTTTCCAAGTCCTGCAAAAATGGTGAATGTGTCATCAATTTAATTGTTTCAGATTAACATCTTGCCGAATACCCAATGCTAAGGGAGTAAACAAGTGAGTCGATGCTCTGGGAAGCAGCTGCGGTCCTAATTCAATACTAGCATGCTAGTCAGTTTATTTCATGGGTGCGGAGGTGTGGCTAATCGTGCAAAGCGTTAGGAATACGCTCGTCACCGCACCTCTGATTTCTCTGCTTGGATTCGCGGGTCCGAATCCCATGCGGGGATAGGTATGTGCGAGAAGATTGCTTGACTCCACGCCGCCGTAGGGTGGTTTACAATTTACATAACCGCTGGTCGGTTACGGCTTACTCTACCAATAAGTAACTAACTAATCCCATACCCGACATGAGGTTTCAACGTTCAACTTACAAAAGAGTCAGTTTCAAAGATTGAAAAGTGGCAATGCCCTTCATTTTTGTTTATGTACAACTGCATATATTTAAAATGTGTAGATTCATCCATATGTATATATTCTCATTGATATGCTCAATCTTCTAAATGAAAATTTATTGTGTTTATGTTTACAAAATCGAAAAGTGATTATTGATTTGATTTGACCGAAAGAGTAGGCTACATAATATATAACAGTGTTTCAGATTCTGATTCAATATTCATATCTGAAAACATGGTTTGAAAGATGTCGTGGCTGGCAGAGGCGTAGCCAGAATATTTTGCGCCCGGGGCAAACTATAAAATTGGCGCCCCGACCTCCACGTTTAATCATATTTTCTATTACATTTATTTTGTATATGTAAAAACAATTTAAAGAAGAAGCAAAGCTATACAAAATATAGCATATTTATGTCCATAATGTCCCACTCAGTCAAAGATGATTTACATGATCTACAATAAATTTATTTTTCTTGATTTCACTGTCGCAGACTTGTTAATCACGTCATCAAAATATTTTTTTTTTCAATGTTTCTCTTTCAACACCTAAGTGCAAAATCCCTGAGACGACCCTGTCCCATTGATGCACGCGAATACGACAAAATAAGTTTCAATTTGCTGAAAGACCGTTCATAGCTTGCAATTGAAACTGGTAATGTTGACAAAATTTGTAGAGAAATTCGCAGATTTGGGACGTCGTCTCCAAAAGCCACAATAAAACCAAGGAGAGTCAAAAGAGTTTCTGGTTGAATTTCAGTTCTGTCACTGAGCAGCTTTCTGCTATTTCCAATTTCGGTAAAAAGTTCTCGGCCATTGATGTCCGTGTCGTAGAAATTTGCAAAATCTGTGCAATCTCGACGAATTGTATCCTCATCTGTGTCAGATAGTAGAGTTTTAACGTCAAGCAGAAATCCAAATTTTGTATTTAGGTCTTTTAGTCGTGAAAAATTTGTTGACATCTCCCGTTGAAGCCGATCAAATACATTCTTCATAACGCGCACAATTTATTCTTCTGGTTGAAGCCCTGCATCTCTTTTCAGTTCTCCAGGCATTCTCTAATTACGTTGCCTAATTCGTCTACCCACCCGAACCCCCAGGCTGTGAATTTTGTTTTGACATTTTCTACAGCAGCTTGACCGTAAATATATACTACTACATACGGCTTGACTCAAATCATCACGAAGCTTACCTTTATTATTTGTCGAAAACGGCATTGGTCTCTTTTAGCACAATATAATATATTTTATGTAAGTCTGCTTTGACAACCACGAAATACAAAACCACGTATTACTCAAAACATGTATTACCAGCACTTCGCCGTTGCCTTTTGTCTCCATCACAGAACTAATATCAACATACATCGGAGTGCACAGAAAAGAACTAAACGATACAGAACCACGTTAATCAATTAACCCCGTGCATTTTGTTACCTAACATTTGCTTTGTTTCCCGGCCAGTTTTTTTGGCCATGTAATTATGATGGAAATCTGACTGTGCACGAGCCATGTGCCTGATGACGTCGGCATTCGACGTAAGTGGTCTGACCAAGCAATGAGCATATGTATATATGCTCATTGGACCAAATGTGCAGTTGGCCATGTACTGAGACTAGATGTATGCCGCCGGTGCAATCTTGCTTGTGACCTTTTTTTTTATCCTTGTTGTGAAATTTTTGCAAGTCCTATTTTGGCGCCCGGGGGCATATGTACCCCATTGCCCCCCTAAGCTACGCCTCTGGTGGCGGGTGGTGCATTGTGCTATGAGTTGGGAATATACTTATCATCGCACCACATGATAACTCTGCGTGGATTCGCAGTTTTAAATTCCATAGTATAGGGGATAAGGGATGTGTGAGAGGATTGCTGGACTCCTCTAGCTGAATAAAAAATACCACACCCGGCATGGACTGATAACCATTCGAGATCGACATATAATTAAGCGTGAATATAACATCATATCAGATTTTCCATCCAATAAATATGTAAAACCTAACTCTTATTTGCCTCCGCTAGGGGACGCAACATCAATAAGAGATATTTTTGTGCTCGTCTGTTGTCCTCTCATATTCGAAAATAGGATAGGGATAGGGATAGGATTTACATATTTATCCCGGGGGAGAGGAAAGCCGATAAGACGGGTTATCCATATGGCGAACCACGGCCTCTCGTCCGGTTACCATTCCAAGTCGGGTACCGGTATGGGATTAGATTTACTGTATTGTTTGTTTTCGGAAGCATGGACTTGGAAAACTCGATGTGTGAAATATTCGCTGCCTTGTTGCAAGAAAGCTACGGTACAACCATTTTCTGGTAAGGTTAGGTGAGAAAACCAGTGCCCACACTGGTGTTTGTCAGGGTTAGGCATATAAGTAGGCCCATATTTTGATTATCCCGCATAGCTGGAGGACAGTCTGGCAGTACAGCAGTAAGAGTAGGTACCGGTACAGGAGTAAGATGAAGTATCATTTTATTCCGGGGGAGAGAATAGACTGATAGACGGTTCATTGATAGGCCTATGGTGTGCCACAGAAGCCTCTTCTCCCACTCATGCATTATAGGCTAGACCAAGGCATTAACAGTGAGTGCAATCTGCAAACCCCTCATTACGCGGCAATCTGGAAATCTATATAGGCAAACCGGCACTACACAATAAACTAAAAGGAGGCGCGTTCTGAAAGCATCACACATGATTTTTCTGAAAAAAATAATCGGATTTACTCAAAAAAGAAATTGAACCTAGCATTTAAGAGTAAGCAAAAAAACACAACTTTGCTAATGTGATGGCCTACGAATGTCGCGATCGATTTAGTCTAAATATTTATCAAGACAAGCATAGTGCCATCTGATGCATCTGTTGTCGTGCCAGATGCCCTCTTCGATAGACAAATGGAGTGTTTGTTTTATTGAACCGAATGTTGGGGCATCCTAAAACCTTGGCATTCTGCCCTACTGGCAGACTGGTATGGGATTAGTTGACCAGTTATCTGTTTTATATGCATGGCGGTTTGACTGTGGAAGAACAAAAGAGAAACCATAACTGACCAACTCTGAAATAAGAAGTTGTAAACACTTTGAATTACTGTGATTGACTTGATTCTGTGATTGTACTATATTATACTACCGTATATTATTAACATAGACTAAAACTGTATACGCTTTTATTACAGGTCATAGACATAGATAAACAAGGAATTGTACTGTAAACCTGTATAGTCTATTATAGTTACAATATGTCTGATGAAGAAATAACTCTTTACTGCATCTGCAGAAGTCCTGATATTGACAGATTCATGATCATGTGTGATCAGTGCGAAGAATGGTATCATGGAGACTGTATTAATATGACGGAGCGCGAGTCAAGACGAATCAAGTACTTTTACTGCAAATGGTGTCGTCGTAAAAACCCTTCATTACAGATTCAATATAGAAAGTCTAAGAAATCTAAAAATCGAAGTGAAGATGGTAAAAAAGCAAAGAAATTGAAAAAGAAAGAAGCAAAAAGAAAAAGGCGTGAAGATGGTCAAAAAGAACAAGTCAAAAGTGAAAAAATAAAAAAGGTTATCGAGAATGATAATGATCAAAAATCTGACATTACAAAATCAAATTCACTGTCTACATCTTTACCTGTTAATGTCAAGAAAGAGTCTCCACAGGAAAATGTATCAATCAGTAATAAAGAACAAGCTGCTTTGTTGTCGGCAGATGAATGTGGCGAATGTGAAAATTGTTTACGTATTGTTAATTGTAAAAGATGTCAAAACTGCCTGAATCCAACCAGAGATATGAAGTGTCTAAAACAACAATGTCTTACCATGAAAACTAATTTGTCAACTTCTCATTTTGAAGTGAAAAAAGAACCACTTCCTAAAAAGAGTATCAAGACCGAATACGAAGAGGAGCCATCAAGATGGAAAAATTTTGATATATCTCATAGTATGTTTTCTCAGAAAAAGTTTAGCAAACCGGATACTAAGTTAGAAATTCATGGCCGACAATGTTATGGACCTGGATGCACTTTGGCTGCAAGATCAAAATCCAAGTACTGCTCAGATGAATGTGGTAAAAGGTTAGCTGCTAAGAGATTGCTACACATTATGCCATCTCGAGTGAATGACTGGCATCATACTCCAACAGTTGCAAATGAAATGGGTCGAGAAGAATTGGAGAGAATTAGGGCTGCAATGGTTCAAGCAAGGAGCGAACTTCAGGCACTGGAGGAAAAATATAGGAGATTAGAATCAATTATTACGCAATCCAAAACTTTTGAAATTTGTGAAAAATTGTCTGATGCAGAAGAAACTGATGAAAGTGATCAGACTATATTTTGTGTTGTTTGTGGCCACCCTGTTTCTCTTCGAGGTGCTATAAAACATATGGACAAATGTTATATTAAAATTGAATCTCAAATCTCTTTTGGGTCTGTGTATCCGACGCGTATTGAAGGCTCAGAGCGACTATTTTGTGATGTCTATAATCGACAACAACAAACTTATTGTAAAAGATTACAGGTAATTTGTCCAGAACATGCAAAAGAACCAAAAATCACAGCCAATGAAGTATGTGGATGCCCATTGAAAGAGGATATATATACGGGTGATGAACCTAAACTGGCTAATGAGTTTTGCAGCAGAGCTAAGAGAAAATGTAACAAACATTTTAAATGGGAATCTATGTACAGAGCATCGGTTGATTTACAGCGAATTAGACAATGGCTAAAAATTGATGAAATATTTGAGGAAGAACGCAGAATTCGCAATTCTATGGTATCAAGAGCTGGTGTTGTACCTTTGTTATTGCACCAAACAACTGCCCATGATCCTGCATGTCTGGATATGCGAACAAAACCATCAAATGTTAAAAGACCTGCATATAGACTTGTCATTTAAGATTGTAATTTATTTGATAAATTCATAATTGAAGGCCCTGCTTTCAAGTTTAGGAAACAAAAAGAAAAGCAATTGAAATATTCGGAAGTTTGATTATTTGAAAATGTTTGTTTGCGATCCACACCATGAAATGTTCATAGTCTCATATGAACATGTTATATTAACAGACATGTGTGTGACACATTTGGATGATGGGATGTTTCATTTTTAAATTGCGCAATAATTTACTTGAATAAACTTTAGTTAGTTTTGTATGCTTGGCTTGTTACAGTATTTTGATGAGTATGGCCTGTACATGCTATACAAAAGTTTTTTTTTTCACAGAATAGTGTGTTTCATAATTGTGCCAATCAGATTGGATATTCATGTATAGTTGGCTATGCTAGATATTGATTGACTTGTGTTTTTGTCTTTGTAATATCCAACTTTTGTTGAAATTTGTTATTCTGTTTTCTTAGCTTGTCTTCTAACTTTCCCATTTTGTTTTTTAGTTACTGACAAAATGTCTGTTCCAAGTAGATCAGAATGTAATCACTGTCAAACGGAATTACCTCTTGTGCATATTCGCTGTTCAGAATGCTCAAACACATCAATATGCTTGTCATGTTTTTCGAAAGGAGTTGAATTCCGCAATCATTTGAAAACTCATTCATACAAGATTATTGATAAAGGATCATTTCAAGTTGTCGATCCTAATTGGACAGCCTTTGAAGAAAAACTACTTTTGGATGGAATTGAACAATTTGGCATTGGAAACTGGGAGGATGTAGCGGTTCACATTGGTGAAAGAACTTCAAAAGAAGTGGAGGAGCATTATTACGCTTCTTATATTGAAAGTGTCGATCTTGGGCGAGTGACTGTGCCAAATGATATCCCTAATAGGATGACAGATCATACACCACCATTGCATGAATCGATTCTGTCTATCCAGTTGCCTCGTTTGGATTTGGATAAAGAAGAAGAGCTAGAATTGGCTTATATGCCATTGAGAGATGATTATGAAATGGAACATGATAACGAGGCTGAAATACTAATCAGTGGCTTGGCAATAAATGGTGATGAGGATGAACTAGACCTTGATTTGAAAGTTGCCCAAGTAGGAATGTATCTTGACAAATTAAAAGAACGGCACAGAAGAAAAAGTGTAGCGAGGGAATACCATCTGGTGGAAAAATTTATCGGTAAACCATTACCTGGAGCCAAACAAGATCGAGATTATTTGAAACGTCTACGTTTATGCTTTCAATATATGCGAGAAGAACAAGCTCTTAATTTTGCAAGAGATGCAAGGAAAGAACAAATTTTGAAAACAAAGATTAAGCATTTAAAAATGTATCGTAAAAATGGAATAAAAAGGCTAGAGGATGGTGTGGTATTCGACGTCAAGCAGCGTAGACGTAACAAAATTAACTCTGAAATTAGACAGAGTTCAACATCCGATTCAAGTCAGAACGAAAAACCAATTGATAGACTGAGTTCAGAGTATGGACATCATTTGCTTAGTTCTGATGAAAAAACATTGTGTCGAATGCTTAAAATGATCCCATCAAGATATTTAACAACAAAAACTCTGATAATAAAAGACTTTATACAGAAAAAATACGGCCTCGGAATAAAAATTAGATTTCCAGGCTATTTAGAAAAATTTCAAAGAAAAAAGATTCAAAGTTTTTTAAATAATAATGGATGGTTACCAAGAGTTTCTGCCCAATAATGCATACCTTTCTTTAACCTCGTTAAAAACTTTTCGTGCAATTCATTATATTATATTTCTACTTCTACTCTTCAGTCTAGAAAAATAGCATATTTGAATTTTTTGAGCTAAAATTTGAATTGTAATATTACTGCCTAAAAGTTTTCATCTGATAATCTGATTCTCATGATGTGTACTCCTATCTAGTTAAACACAATGATGTAGCAATATTAGCAAAATATAATTGACTTCTGTGAATATGTGTATTGTCACTATCTTGTATTTTTCTAAGGTAGAGTCTTTATCATATATAAAAATGGAAAAAATGAGAGAATTACGAATGCAAGTTCAACAAAATCAACGAGAAGTCGGAGATTTTTTAAAAGATCTTGATTCTTGGACAACTGACATAAAGACAAAGGATGAAAGTTTGAAAACTATGAAGCCAAAAGAAAAAGTAAGCATACTGTTATTGAATGTTAGAAATCAAAAGTTAGGGTTTCAGAAAATTCTATCATGTACAATTATACACAATTGGCGTTGTATCATAAGTTGAATATGCTTGTAAAGCATTTCATGAAAACCATCAAGCCATTTTCTAACCGATATTGTTATATTATGTGATGTGAAATGTGAATATGTCTGGGTATTTTAAATCAACAATAAACAAATATATTCAGAACTTAAATATATGATACTTTTTTTGTTGGATCAATATTAAAACCACACATGCCGTAAATTTCTTACATTACTTAAATCGGTTGAACTTTGATTGTACCCGAGAAATTCTGCAATCTAGGACAGTGGTCGGCAACCACCGGGCCGCGGCCCATCGCGCATCCGCGGCCCATCGCACATCCGCGGGAAGGTTACTACCGGTCCGCAGAGAGGTGACACAGAAACGGACAAGGCCGGACTAGAGACAGAAGGTTTCATGCATTTTTACCTATCCCAACATCTTATTAATGTGATGCCTGGTTTTCGATATTGATAACTACAAAAAACGAAATATTGAAGTATGCTGTATGAAACACGTTACATGTGTCTGTGTCGACCATATCTCATATATTGGAACAGTTAATGGCCAGCCAATGAATACAGATCTCGCATTTAAAATCACTTTCGTTTTTCAGTATATTGTCAACATAAGTTTCCTAACGCGTATAATTTGTTGCATAAGCTTAATTCGTTTGTTTAAAAGGTGGTCCGCCAAAAATTTTGTCATGCTTTACCGGTCCTACATCTAGAAAAGGTTGCCGAGCACTGATCTAGGACACTTCGCACAAAAATGTTCTCTCTAGATTATGTTTCAAATGACCTGGGTTCTTTTTTGGGGTTCACCCAGTATATGGCAATTTGTGCTAGGCTACTCAGTTATGTAGTTGTATTGTTATATTTTTTATTATATTTGTAACAGGCAGCTTCTGCATATCCTCCTGTTCGAAGTAAAGGAATTGTAGAAAAAGTCAAGAAAAAGAGAGAAAATCAAGAAAAGAAAGAAGAAAGAATAAAGTCCTCAGATTACAGGAAATGGGACAAGTTAGATGTGGTAAATGGAATAGAAATAGAAATCTATTTTAGTTAGTAATATTTTCCTATTTCCAGTGCACTGTTTTCCTATCACAAAGAAAATGTAATAAGTAACTAGTACAATTTTTTAGCCACTCTGAATGAAATTCTCATTATTTACTTCACGAGTGCAGGTTCATCAAGCACTCACCTACTTTTTCTAATGAATAATTTGGATTAGCCAATGCTGAGATGATAGTAATGCGACTATGTAATGTTAAAAAGACCATCACATTATGCATATGTAGTATGCATGCATCGCATATTGGTCTGGGCAGTTATTATTATCCCAAGTTCATATTATAAAAGTTTTTTGCCTAAAATTATATGATGTTTTGAATAAAAACAATGATGCTTCGCGTATATTTTTTCCTATAAGTTTTGAATTTGAAGTTCTGAATATTTGTAAAAGGTCTTAGAAATAGTTCTTGAGTATTGACTGCTTATGACACAATGTTCAATGAATATTCACAGAGACTCCTTTCAAATACATGATAAAATGGATATCAAAAAATTCTATATCATTTAATAAATAACATCACAGTCATAGCTACTGGAAAATATCTGAGGTTGTTTTGAGCTTGATTAATTAAAGTCATAAATTTTTAATATTTTTTTTGGTTAGAAAACTGGTGTTTGGCTTTTTAGTCATATACACATCAATTCTGTTTTCCATATTAGGATGCAATGCTGAAACAAGTAGATGAAGATGAGAAAGAAATGGAAGAAGAAATACAATTGGAAGTTGAAAAACTTGACGAAGCAAGAAAAGCAAAAGTTGCAACAGAAATGAAACAAAAGGTCAATTTCTATTTTACGTTTTTACAACTAGCGTTTGAATGAGATAGAAAAACAACATTATATCTTTATACAAATGAAATCAGATTCATTATGTTTTCTTATTCAACTATGTTAGTCTGGAGCTGTTGTGAAGGTACTCCCATAGTATGTAAACACAGATGGCTTAACCCTAACCTGGTATACATACCGTGTTCCGGTGTCTGCCATCTTGGTTCACATACTACGGGAGTACCGTTGTAAAATTGATTGTTTCAATATGTTTGGCATTCAAGAATTGGGTGCTCGAATTATGCAAATTTGAGGTTCTTTTACATGAAAGACTCTCTCAGTAACAACCAGCCATTTCTTGCTCTGGAAAATAGGAATTTCACAAAAAATTTAGTATTCTCTATTTTTTCTAAGTTTTATTAACATATTTTAAATGCCAATAGTTTTTGATTTTATTGAAACAATTTTTTGGAAACTCTTGTGTTACATCTCTCCAGGTTAAAAGCTGAACATCTTCAGCCTTTAGGTCTTATCTAAGAATGAATCATGTAATCTTTGCAGGGAAATGAACATTTCAAAAACTCTGGATATGAAGCTGCGATAGAATGCTATACAACTGGAATGCAGGCTGATCCATCCAACCCTGTTTTTCCTGCAAACAGAGCGATGGCATATTTGAAGTTGAAAAAGTAGGCTATGCTTTGTTTTTCCGACAATTTTCCTACTTTTGTTTATAGCAGTACATCTGGCTGATAATTTGTCACGAAAGATATAATTAGATTAAAATTCAATTCATAGTTTCAGAATCTGGTATATGTTCTTGACTTGTACATTATTATTTTCTCAAAACATTCATCTGAACTTTGTATTCAAGTATGGTTTTGCTGTATTTCTATAAACTCAAATAAACTGATGTGCGAAGGCCTGTAATTTTCTGTTTGATAGATATGTCATGTCAACTTTTTCAAACTCCTAAACTACATGTCAACAATCAAAATCCATCTCTGAAACATGTAACTGCTTGCTATTGCCCATACTCGACATTGACTGGTAACCAGGCTAGAGGCTGTGAATAACCATTTGCTACCCTGGAATAAATTGCAAAAAGAACGAAAAAGCACTAAATCACAAAAATTTCTCATCATGTGTTATTCCGCTTACATTCTGACTTGAACTGATGCTTGTTGAATGGCAATAGCCGACCAAGATGCACGGTTTGGTTGACGTCATCTCACTTGGTGGCGTGCTCAGGTGTTCGAGCACCGAATTACCATTTTAGTACCACAGAATTTTTGACTAGAATTTTTTTGGCAGACTACTGAATTGTTCCAGAATCGAGTTTTTCGACTACCAAGGTATCACTGTACACCACTATATAGGTCATTCCTAGTCAGTATTTATTATACTCTTGTCTTAATTGTTCAATTTGCTAAAAGAATGTTTAAATCTATAACAATCTTGTTTTCTTTCAGGTATGTTGAAACTGAAGCAGATTGCACACTTGCTCTCTCACTTGATCCAACTTATACAAAAGCATATTTAAGAAGAGGAACAGCCAGAGTTGCTTTAGCGAAACTGTCAAGTGCGAGAAAAGGTAGCAATTTAGCCATTACACTTCTTTGTATTTGTATACCTGTACTATATTGCCAATTCAGGGTTTGACTGAGAAACTGCAATATTTTAGAAGGTATCCAGACATCTTATGTTTTTACCAAAATCTGATTCATTCATTTATTCTGTTTTAAAATCATTATTCCGAGACATATTGAATACATATTTTTTGTTTTGGTTGAGATTTGCCCACATCTGTATCTGTATCACAGATGTCTCAATGCCTACTTATTTATAAATTATTCATATAAAATCTCTCCCATCCCTATTATAATTTTGAAATTATATGTATCCTTATTATGCACATGTGAAGATTTTGAAAGAAACAATATTGATCTTTAAAAACTGTATCTTAACATTTTGATTTATTATTAAAAATTAAAAATCTATACTTTACTAATAATTTGGCATTAACTTAAATCTCATATATTTTATGATTACTGAACTAGTCGATTTACAGCATTCATCCATGTTGAAATATATATTTAAGATTTTATGGATGCATTGAAATTGGAACCTGGAAACGGCCAAGCAAGCAATGAAATAAAAAAACTGGATGAGGTTTGTAGAATCAGAACAATGATGATGATTGTAAACTTTTGGTATTATTGATATGCAGAAGTTTGTATATGCTGTATAGCAGGGATGGCGAACCACTGACACGCGGGTCACAAAGTGACCCACCGCCTTTTATTCGTGACCCGCCAAGGCACGAAAAATGCTAACATATCAGTGATAAAAATTGATAAAACCGGCCTTAAATTAATCTAACAATAGCTAAACTATTATAATGTACCGTCAGTTGGGCAGTCAGGACTGCGATCGCTCGTATCCAAATTGTTGATTTTCGGGCCGGTATGGTAATTTTCAGAACCCCTAACCTGGGACGCCTGTTGGAAACGCTGTGTACTGTTATTACTTATCGATCTTGATCGGTAAGTATGTTGATAGGAATTTGTCTGTTTGTCTGTCTTTTATATGTACGCGATATCTCACGAAAGCGAGGTTGAATCTGCTCCAAATTTTGCATGTGCATTCATCATATATCGGACCAGAAGCCTATTTTGGATGAATTATGTCGTATAATTAGCGAGTTATTAAATAAGTAGTGATGGGACACGCGGTGTCACTATAGAGTCATTAATCGAAATCGCAGTTTCGGTCGATAAGTCTTCGGTCTCCGACCGATATTCTTGTTCAGTTATTGGCTCTGACATCGTTTATGACATAACAATGCATTTGATCAGTTCATTTCTTGCAACATCTTGTCTCTTTTGGAAGTGCATCTGCAGACTGTTTCAGGGGTTATACGAAATCTAGATGCTACCTTGCATTTTATTAGTTACTCGCCTATAATGCCGTTGAGAAAAAAAATTTTTCAGACTTGAAATAAAAACCTAGAATTCTGAAATATCAATGGGCAGTATAAAATGCCGTAATGTTGTTGTATAGGGAGAGAGAGAGATGATGATGGGTCTTAGGGATAAAGACTATATCAACCCTATATATTTAAGTTCGATTCCCGCATTATTGTTTTGACACGCGTTATGGAGTGTGACTCCAGTCTGAATGGCTTCAGACGATAATAAGCACACAATGTTGATGCTAATCGTTGTTGTATATTGTTGAAAGATGCACAATCCAAAATTCCGAATACCGATAAAATTGAAACACACTTAACTCTTAATACAGTAAATCAGAAGTGATTCAACAGATAAATTTGAAACACACTTAACTCGTGACACAGTAAACGAGAATATCGGGCTGAGACCGAAGACTTATCGATCGAAACTGCGGTTTCGATTCGTGACTCAATAGTAACATCGCGTGTCCCATTGCTAATTAATTAATACCTCGCCAAATATACGACATAATTCATTCAAAATCAATAGGCTTCTGGTCCGAGATATGATGAATGTACATGCAAAATTTGGAGCAGATTCAACCTCGCCCTCGTGAGATATCGCGTCCATCTAACAGACAAACAAACAGACAGACAAATACCTATCAACATACTTACCGATCTTAAGATCGATAAGTAATCAGAAGTGAATCAAAACACGATATTATGCTGCCCTCTCAGCAAGCCGGAACGACACGTCATTAAATTGGTCAATACGAGAAAGACAGTACATGTAATCAGTAATCAGTGTTGCGACAATAAAATGACCTATTGTGTGAAATGGAACACACTATTAAAATGAAAGAGTTAAATACATTATAATCCATAGTTACACAATGCACATTCGCTACAGTTGAAGGCTGATCAAAAAATATAACACTATTAGAGTGGAATTCACTTTGGAACCCTAAAATAATTTATCGCATCATCCTAAACATTTTTTGTAATTCATATGCGTATTTTCGTACTCTAATTTCATAAAATCGAGTGCCTTAAAAATCTCCTTATAGAAATGCTGCATAAGTAGAGCCCAAAACTACTCCAACACCAACAGAAGCTTATAAGATTCGTTTCAGAACTTTCTTATAGATACAAACATTGATTAAATATCTGTGACCTACTCTCTTCTGTTCCGCGATAGAAATATAATTTTTGACCCATTCATTGAAAAAGGTTCGCCATCCCTGCTGTGTAGGTTAAAAATTATTCCATTGTTTATCATTGCTTGATTACCATAAGCAGCTCCAATATATTTGAGTGATTTCAAAGTGTAAAATGAATTCCATAGAGCCCACAGGATTTTTTTAAATAAATGAAAGTAAGAGCCTAGCGACAACAATCATCTTTAACCACTGAAAATTTCAAAGTAATCAAAGGGATCCATAGGCCTAACTATCATGATGGCTGTTGTGGACCGACCCCCTGATGTTTGTTCGCAGACCCCAGTCGGAGAACCACTGCCTGAAATCATCAAAATGAAAAACATATGTTATTATTGCTTATTTATCATTTAAAATATGAAAAGTAGACACATTGAAAGTGTTTATTGATAAATATTTAGTCTGCTTGAAATAAAGTTATTGATAAATTTTGAGAAAAAATCGCACCTGATTTATTCTGATGATGTGTAGATTTCAAAAATATCAGTTTTGTACAGACTATCTTCTTTATATTAATGATAGATTTCTCAAAGCTGTGCCATAATTTTTCACCTTGGATTGCTAACTTTTTCTTATGATAGATTCCTATTTGAACATTGTGCCTTCTGAAAAAAGACAAAGCATAATCAGTGAGATACCATTTTTATTTAAGGTTTACAAAATATCATGTATTTTTATACAGCTTGAAAATATTGGCAAGAAGCCGAAAATAAAGTCGTCATCAGAGGTCAGAGACACCACAATGAAGAAGGATCCGAAATATGTCTATCCAATTTTTATTCCACCCAAATTGCGTTCAAAGGTATTTTCTTTATATAAATCTTTATATTCACTTACATTTTAACATGTAGATCAGTGATTACTTATCGATCTTAAGATCGGTAAGTATGTTGATACTTGATAGGTATTTGTCTGTGTATTAGATGCACGTGATATCTCAGGAAAGCGAGGTTGAATCTGCAAATTTTGCATGTGCATTCATCATAGCTCGGATCAGAAGCCTATTAATTTTGGATGGATTATGTCTTATAATTAGCGAGTTATTAATTAATTATTGATGGGACACACAATGTCACTATGGAGTAAGACCACTGTTTTGGGGGATCCCCTAACCTTCGATCGATAAGTCTTCGGTTTCTAACCGTTATTCTAGTGTTTACCTTGCTAGGTTCTACATGGCTTAGTGTTCTGCAAAACGCTTATTGGGGTTTTGTGACAGTTTCCCATATTGAAGTTGTGTGTTAATTTTTGGATACCCATTCATGTGAAACAGCAATTTCTGCCCTGACAAATATTAGGAACTGAAACAAAAGTCACTTGAATAGTGTGCACCATGTTTCAACGATTTAAGAAGTTATGAGAGAAATGCAAGAGCAGAAGCGACGATGAATTTCTTATATTTCAATTTCTGTAATAACTTTTCATTGTTGTTGCTGGAGTGTCCAATACCTGACTTTGTAGTTATTAGTTTTTTTGAGTTTTTGTTAATTAGCAGTCTCAATAGCACATCAGTAGTTCCCCAAGAAAAATAAAGGTTGAAGAGCAATGATCTAGATCAGGGGTGTGCAACCTGCGGCCCGCAGGCTCGAAAGGGGGCCCTCAAGAAAAAGTTGTGCGGCTCGCAGAGTCTCAATTTTGAATGTGTGGCCCTCGAAACGAGTTTGTAATTTAAATTGGTACGCGCCAGTAATTCCAATCCATTCGCGATAAGATGCCTATTCCTAAGTACAAGTTATGACTACGACTTTACAATGCGCAAGCCAACCACAAGATCAATATCCAAAATTTTTGTGCTTGCAACTACTAGATAGCCTATGTTAAATAAATAAAGGTGCGGCCCACGGTTTCACCCAGTTATTTCTATCTGGCCTTCCTGTATTAAAGATTGCACACCCCTGATCTAGGTCGATAATTATTTTTCAATTATGTTCCATAGAAACCTTTGATGAGAGTAGAAGTACAAGAAATAGGTTATGAGGAAGAAAAAAGTAAATTAAATGCAAACATCGTTGATCTGGATTTTATTATGAAGAGAGAAAAGATAGACAATTCGGAAATGAAAGAAAATAAAACGACCAAACTGAAACTCAAACCTATTATTTCTGTTATGACTGATTCGAAGCAAAATTCATCAAGCATGAACGATATAAAAATGGAAAGTAAAAGACTGGTGGAAGAAATGGAATCTGAAAATATTTCAAGTAAATTGACCAATGGTGTGGATACTAATGTAAATGCTATTGGGGATAACTGTCATATCGATAATACAAAATCATTGACAAATAAAAACTCAAAAGGGCCTGCTTCGTCAAAAAAAGTTTTCGAGTCAAAAAGCTTAGAAAGAACTGGTGAATTGGAAGATGCAGTTCAGGTGATTTTACCTCCATGTCCAACGACTTCATTCCAATTCCAAGCTCAAGTCAAAAAGTTGATGAATGTGCCTGGAATATTGTACAAATATATGTTGCAAATACCACCTTCACAGATTCCTGGTTTATTGAAAGAACAATTGGAAACGGAGACACTGATGCCAGTGTTGAATTGCTTTCATACAAACTGTGATGGGTAAGTTGGATTTTTTCTCATCGAGTATGCTGAAAATGGTTGAAATTTAGCAAATGTATATTTAAAGATTTGATATCTTTCATTTTTGTTTACCATCGCGAGTTCAAAATAAGTTAATCTCGGTTCAGAGGTTGGCCCCTCCTACTAAACGTTGGAAAACTTTTGATATCGCACCTCTGATTATCCTTTGCACGTTTGAATCCAATGGGAGAAGATCGTGTGTGCGAGGATTGCTAGACTTCTCCTCGTCGTCTTGGAGTGGTTCAGTTACGGCTCCCTCCACCGCCAATTCTGTGCATCCGAATCAAAGAAGTCCTCAATTATACCCATACATGGACTGGTACAGGTCGAGAGGTCATGGTTCATTATATGATTAAGCCATCTTATTGGATTTCTTAGAAAATAGTATAAAAGATGTGTTTGTCAGGAGTGGTTGAAAATTCTGGGTGTGTATGAACATCATTATTACTTAATCTAGGACATGACACAAACAGAGATCTTTAGTAATTCTATGAACTTCTTCCCATCATTACGTCAGCTGTAAACAAATTTCTTTTTTATTTTCAGGAATGAGATTGTCTTCGATTATTTAAATCAATTCACAAAGGTGAAAAGATTTGAGATGACGGTATTGTTCATGTCAGATAGTGAGAAAAAAGGTATAGTATTTGTCAATGCTAATTTCTTTGTTATGGAACCCTCTTCAGGATGAAATAGTGTGCTTGGGAAGCATTGTGAACGAGGATTGGAGAACAACTCGTTGCGATATCCATCGCCGCCAACCTTGGTTAAATGTTTAGAAATGCCAGCGTAATGATATTCGGTTATAAAACTGAATTTCTTGGTGAAATAATTAGCAGTGTGTGTTTAAATGGGTTATATAATTCAAGGATGTTTACATTATACCTAATGCTCTCAAATATATTTGTGCTGGTGTTCTGCAAGACTATCCCTAATCACTGGGAATAACATTTTTTATGTTTGATTTTGTATTTCATTTTTCTTTAGTTCATAAATTTGGTAATGTAGTCTAACTAGTCTTACATTGTTGCGATCAGCTTCCATACTGTATTTTTTATTTTGCACAGATGTGAAATCACTGTTCGAACTTCTGGAAAACACTTTACCTGGGAAGAAAGTCGACTTGAAATTGTTGAGTAAAAAATATGGATTGTGATTTTTTTAGCCTTCGTAGTTTTGCAATAAAATTAATTTATTTTCTATATTTTTCGATTGCGAATTATAGCGCTATTTGTTAATTGATCGTGCAACGTTGCGGTCGACGCGAGAATTGTAAATGTCTTGTCGAAATCCACATGTTGTCATGACGACGCACTTATCTTAAATGCTTTAGCCTGATCCCAGTGTGTCGGCGAGCGGACCAGACCGGACAATTGAGATGTTTTGTCGTGCTTGATAGTACATCGACTTCGGAGGATAAATTTAATATATATACCAAGCACGTCACGGTTTATATCGGACAGGTAAGACAGAATGAAGCCGCATATGTCCATAATATACGGTACTGTATAATTGTGGCGGTCAAGTTGACGAGAATATATCAATTGTGTGCTGGTGAAGTCTGATTTCGTTCGTTGGTGGGAGTGAGGATCAGGTAGCCGCAGAAAGAATGTCTGGCAGAGATCGAGCTCTGGACTGGACCGCTCCCATCTACCTGACTTTATTATTCAACGCGAAAACATTGACTTTTAAACAAACTCATTATGTTACAATGGGAAGTTAATTGTTCAGTCCTAGCGCAGTGTCCACAATTGGCGACATTTTCCTGGTACTAACATACAAAAATTCACCAGATTTATGCCAGCTTCATTTTCCCAGTACTGTACTAACATACAAATTTAGTTTGAATAGGTTATTGTTTAGGCTGACCATACGTCCTCCTTTTTCGTTAAAAATTTTATGTCCTCCGAGGACGCTCCAAAAGGTCAAAATGTCCTCCTTTTTCAAGAAGATAAAAAGTTTAAAATTTTTTTATGACATAATCAACATTTTTTGATGGGTTTAGAAAATTTTAAAATACGTGGAAATTTGTAATTATCGATACACATGTGACGAGGAATGCCTTGCGTTGAGATATCACGTAGGTAAAAAATACCATAATAAACCCTGAATACAAAATAGGTTAAAAATACCTTAGGTCAGGGTGGTCCAAGGTTGCGAGATTGAAGGGCCGCAAAAACTTTCGAGGAGGTCTCGCGGGCCGCAGTCGGGGGAAAACCCAGAAGTGATCAAAACATCGCGAGTTTACTCACTTCAAATATATTTAGGAATGCGAGTTATCGTTCCAATCAGTTTTTCAAGGAAGCTATATAAAGCCTATAGTTATTATAAAATTGCTTCCCGGGAAATATCGTGGTCTTTTCGGCGCTCCAGAAGTATGTGCACCAATATGGAGGTAACTAATTTTGTTCGCCTACTTTACATTAAGTTATGTACAAGGACTGATTGATTCATTTGACTAACACAGACTTTCCCTGAACTCTTGATAGGAATAATATAATGAAAATCGGAATAAAATTATGGCTTAACACTAACCTGGTACACATACTACGAAAGTATCTTTATTTCTCGTGTTTGGTTTGGTAATGTTGCTTAAAATTATATTCTTTCGTGACAGATATTACTTAAAAACACACCAGACACTGTGGTTATACGTCTCTTCAAATGAGGAGTTATTTGACCCGAGCTCATCTCGCCGCTTGGTCCTGTCTGCACATGACAATTGGGAAGATGATATGATTCTTCAAAAATGTTGGTAGCTCAGTCGTTTCTCAAACTTCAAACTGCATTCGAATGCGGATTAAAGCGTTTTTTTATGGATTTATGTCAAGTCCGACAAAAATCCATGAAAAACGGTTTAATCCGCATTCGAATGCAGTTTGAGAAACGACTGAGCTACCAACATTTTTGAAGAATCATATCATCTTCCCGAACTCCAATGAGCAATGTTTTTTTACAACGAAAGATTATTGATGCCAGCGCCATTGTGACACGGCAATGATTATTTCCACGCTGCATATTGATATCTAAGGTTGCACCACAATGATAATTTACTTTAACCATGCACAAAATTGGATTCTCTATTTTAAAGTTCTGATTGCGCTCCTAATTCAGTAATTTCAACCATTGAATGAGGTTCGAAGGGAGCTTGTACAATGGCGTTTGGGGGTTGGCAGACCCGCGAACGTTAAGATGGTAACTGCTCTCGGTTAAGTGCATACTTGTTTATCACGTAAAAATCGTGTTGTTCTGCAATTATCTTTTACATCATTTCATCTTGTACCCAGCAATTTGGTGAAGTTTCGATTTTAGCAGAAAATTACATCGGTAAACCCAGTAAATTGTGCCGAAAATTTTTTTTTTTTACCCAGGAACTAAAGCAAAAGTATTCATGCTTTATATTTAGAAAAATCGAGCAGATAGCGAAGTGCAATACTTGTGACTATAGTTGCTCGTTGACAAGACAAGAATGCATTATCGTCTATTGTCACTTCTATTTTTAATTCTAGAGAATTTAGTAGATAAATGTATATATCTTATGCACGGGTGGAATATGGTTCTACCGAATGATGTGTCCTCCTTTTAGGGTTTGGAAATATGGTCACCCTATTATTGTTAATCTTTGAACAATTGCGCTTGAACTGAATCTTTATCGAGACGAGAAAAGGTACTTGTTGTCGAGTTGAGTTCTCCTGGCGACGTGACTTGTTTTGAACCTATTGACAAAAACTCAAAATTTCCTCCGGAAAAAATCCCTCCTGTAGGGTTGCGGGAGACACATATTAGGTAAACGGTTCGAGTAAGAGGGTTATAGAAAATTCTTTGGAAGGTAATTTTACGGATAGCATTTGCGAACTGTTGCTAAATTTACTTTGTACAGTATACTTAGAGCGTAGTTATTCTGGGAATGGCTTATATTAAAAATGGATGAAAGACCCAAGCAAGGGAGTTTTTGCATAAGTATGAGGCTTGTAAAGCCAACTAACTAAAGCGGTAAATTTTGAACTGTTTTGATCGCGACCCAAATTGAGTTGCATGAACATCTCACGACCCAATACTTGGACAAAGGAAGAGTGTGACATTTTCATTTGAACTTTCTGTTTTGTGCATGCAGTAGAAATTAAAATACGCGGGGTTTTAGTCAAGGAAGAAGGTGGGTGCAATTACAGTATTATAATTTTAACGAGGTTCTTGCCTTTTTGTGTCCCGTAGGGTACGTAGTCATCTCCCTATGACTCCTTGCCTCCGAGGGCTTCCCTGTCCGATTCAAAGTCTCTAATAAGAACGAGTGAATCTTCGGTTGTGTAGTACAGGCGTGTGCAACCTTCAATACGCGAAGGCCAGATACAAATAACTGGGTTATTTAACATGGACTTTCTTGTAGTTTCTAGTACAGAACATTTGCTTATGGATCTTATGGAATGCGTTGTTCGCTTCGCGCAAGCTAGATGTCAGGGAATTAAACGTCATAGATATCCATATGTTATAAATTGGAATTAATTTAGGCTTTGCAACGTAAAGGGATTAGAATTACTTGCACGCACCAAATTGAACTAATTATAAAACTCATTTCGCGGGCCACGCACTATTTAAAATTGGCACTTCTCCGCGGGCCGCAGGTTGGACACCCCTGGTGTAGTATATTAGGCTACTCAATTAAAACAACGGCGAAAATGATATAAGAATTGGTGAAAAAAAAATTTACAACATAACTTGAGGTGCTTGCGACGAGTGTAGCAAGAGCATTCTAGAAATTGGCTGTAGAATAAAATGAAAGAAATGATCTCAATAGGAAAATGCACAAAAAAACAACATATATATATACGGATAAAGCATAGAACAGTAATAATTAAAAGATATGTAATAGAATAATAACAACGAGCAATACAAAGTGAGATGCGCTAAAAGTGAGTATATGTTTGTTGTCTAATATTCAAAGAAAAGAAGATAGTTAGTAGAACAGTGAAATGGGGAAACTCACGATGGAGATCAATCACATGGTTAAGCCGAAAATTCACCATTTGGTGCTTTTGATTGACGTGAAGATGAAGTATAAATTGTTGTTTATTCAAAGTTGAAAGTGCAAACAAAAACAGACGTTCCAATGACTATTCTCTCACTAAATATGAATTTATTGAAGCCTGCTATAAAGAGCACAGATTTTAAAATAACGCCGATTAAAAAAATATTGGAACACAAAAATATACAAAATTCAAAGTTGGGAAGATGCCAAATGTCGTAAAACGAAAAACAACAATTGTTCCCAGGAATATTCACCCTATAGGGACAATACCAATGGGACTATATAAAGTAAAACACTACCGATTAGAAGCTCCCGCAAGAGCGTATAACACCTTGGATTGTACTCGCCTGGTAGGCGTGAGCTCTCTAATTGGCGGTCGTTCGTGCATTTAACCACATGGTAATATTTATCGACATCATTATCTATCCCTACTATACGGAAGCCTGCTTCAGTTGATGTAAACCAAGCGTCCGGGGAGTAAGACTAGAACTCATTCATTTGGAGCGATGGACAAATAAATTCAGGTTGCGATTGAACTTGCTATTATTATTATCATCAAGACAGCCGGCAATTGGTGCGGTATTTACGCGGCTCAGATGGATTCATCGTATGTCTCAAGTCTCGCGATTCGTCGCTATTATTATTAATTATAACTAGTCAATCAGTTGATTGAGATGTGTAAAGCACGAGATTCTCCAGTCAAGACGTCTAAATTTAGAAAACCTCAAAATCAAAACTTGGCCAGAACGTCGCGAGACCGATCAGAGCTGACACGACCTAGATGTCGCTATAGTTTAATCCAGCGGTTCCCAACCTTTCTAACTTGGCGGACCGGTAAAATTAGATTAAATGTTCTCGCGGACCGGCAAAATATTAAAATGGCCGGAACAGAAAAGAATAACGTATATATATTTGCGTTTTTGCGTAATATAATGCAATGTCGGGCACTCAATATGCTTCTAGACAAAAAAGCACACTTAAAAACATTTCACACGGAGAAAAACTATCAAATAATGTGCCGACCAAAAATTAAAAATGGGTGAAACATAAAATAATACCATATATTTGCGTAATGAAATGCAGTGCTGGGCACCCATTATGCGTAAGAAAGGCACGCATAAAATATCTCACATTAAAAACAGGTACACGCCAAATCATGAGCAAACACAATTAACTTCTGTGAGAATTTTGCTGCTGTTTCGTTCCAGTATAAGATTACAAACGAGGCCTCAAAGAAGTTTTTGCAACACGTAGCTCTGCAGCCGCGTGCAGCCGATTTCTTTGCCTCGTTTTAAGTGAATCTAGTGATGAAAATGTTTTTTCGCATAACGTACTAACTGGCTGAAAAGACGGACAACAGTTTGATTGCTCGATTACTTGGCGATGGGTATTCGTTATCAAGAGATATCTGAAATTGTGATAAGTAATTCTTTTTTAATCTGGACTGTAAAGTAGAATCGCCATGTTAATCAAGTCTTTTCTCATTCATTGGGTTCATCATATTAATCCCTCTGCAGTTGACCGAC